AAACTTAGTACAAAGATGCTCTAGGACAATGTACAAACCTAATTAGTTTGGGGTAAAAATCTGTTCATATTAATTCCCTAATAAGCATAATAATTCATAATTTTTTGGTTCTAATCACATTTCAATTAAACTTGGAGACATAGATTTTCTGTTACATTGCGCAGACCTCATTAGTTTTACACTCAAATCTGGTCATATTAATTTTCTGATTTGCATAATTAGTTTTCAGCTAAGTAATTTCGAATTATATTTAATGTGTTTCCAATACTCTCAGCACATGGGAGTTCTTTCTAAGCTTTCTTTGATTAATTATTTTTTTTTCAATACAACACAGTAAGTTTTTCTTTATTATTGAGTTGATGTATATGCCTTTGGCAAAGCTAACATCTGCCTTACCCTATTGCCTTTTCAAAATCAAAGGTGATGATACATGTGACAGTAATACAGTACGAAATGTGTACATCAGCATGTGCCTCCTACAAATTAAGACTTGTTGTTTTTTTGATACACTGTGGTTAAATTCGTAATAATAGCTCCGTAGTCCTGTGGTTTCAGCAGCGTTTTTTTTTTTTGGCCGAATTTTTTTTTTTTCGCCCTCTCGCATTAGTTTTGGGGTCTTCAGAGGATGTCATCCATAAAATTAAATCAGTGTGGCCTTATTACGGACTTGCGAAATTTTGTGTAAAGTTAAAATGGTTGACAGTGTGTCAATTTTATATGAGGTGGTAGTAAAATATAATTACAGTAAAAAGTCGTTTGTGTTGTTGATTGAACTCAATTATAGTTGCCAAGTATTATCTGTTATTAAATCTGTTAAACCTACACCATGGCAACCAAATTCTATAGCAGTACATTACATCTGTGTCACCATGGATACCATGAAGGCGCGACAATATCATATAAATCATTATTGGATAATTATCGACTAATAAAATCTAATGAAATGCTGGCAGAGATGTCTAACTTAGACATTTTTAGACATTATTAGACATTGTTAGACGATATTATCGATAATACCGGAGAAAAACAAACTGGTCCAATAGTTGCCCAGACAGACCTGTCTAACTTAGACGTTGTTAGACATTATTAGACATTGTTAGGTGATATTATCGATAATATCGGAGAAAAACGAACTGTCCCAATAGTTGCCCAGACAGACCTGTCTAACTTAGACATTTTTAGACATTATTAGACATTGTTAGGTGATATTATCGATAATATCGGAGAAAAACGAACTGTCCCAATGGATGCCCAGACAAACCTATCTAAC